TCTTGAAGGCCATGTACAACAAAGCTGGAGTGTGAGAGGAAGAAGCAGCTGAAGGAGCCAATTAATTAATTTACTGACATGAAGCATGTTGATAGGAGCAGAGATCAGAGTGACTGAGAGATGAGTTTATCACTGTTCTATTTATCCTTTCACTGTCCAGTCATAGGCGTGGATGGGTCCAGGATGACCTGGGCTCAGAGGAAATGGGTTGAATGATTTTGGTCATCAGATCGAGGACAACAAGCAACAGAAAACAAATCGTACTGTGGGGTAAATCTTTGGACTGAAAGTGAATAGTGCAGCAAAAGCAGATTTTATTTGATCTTTTAACGGGCTATTTATTATTGCTATTTTGGCTGCAGTACTGCTTTAGGAAGTGATGTACTAGATGCTTTCATCTCCAGCCACAAAAAAAAATTTTTTTCCTAGTTTTGTACAGAGTGTAAAAACCTGAGGGAATTGTCAGGGAAAATTCTCTTCAATACAGACACAAACAGATTTCAAAAAACAAAAATGGCGTAGCGCTGCCCCCTGTAATTACTGTCACATGGTTTGATTTAGGGGCAGCCCTACACCATTTTTTGTTTCACACATACCTTTTTTAGGATTGTGGTAGGTGTTAGTAGCCGCCCATCTACAAGTTACCATTGCGCAGATTCACTCTTTGCTTTTCACAAAAAGATTTCAAAATAAAGAAGGGCTAGAAACATTTAATTGCTGCCTATGCCCTAATTGTAGAGATTTCAGCTCACTTCCTTTAGCAATATTTTCCAGTGTGTCAAACTGTGACAGGAAATAAAGGCAAATCTTTCTAATGGGGACACATTAGTAAAACCTGACAGAAGAGCTTACTCTTATTCACTCTTTACTCCATTGAAAAAATTGTTGACTGATGTTGGGATCCACAGGATAATTGTTTTATGTCCATTTGCCACCCCTTCCACTCCCAGTGACATCAGTGAGTTTAATGAAAGGGGTATATTAACCACTTGACAAGCCGCTGCAGTACACTTACCGTGGCAGGTCAGCTCGTACAGGCACAACCATGTACCTTTATGTTGCGTCTTTCTTCTGGGTCCGCTCACATATACGCACATGGACCAGAGGACTGTGTTGTCATTTTCTGCAGCACAAGCCAATCAGCGAGTCCTGGCCAATGATTTATGGCTGGAACCTGCTGATCAGTTCTGGGAATAACAGGAGACAACACAGTTCTCCCCTCAGACAGCAGCAATGTGCCAGTTGTTTTCTTCCTGCAAAGCAAGGAATAAAAACTGACACATTGGTTTTGTAAAAAAAAAACATACATTACATGCACTAAACATTGTTAGGCACACTTTTAAACCCTTGATTGCCCTATATTTTAACCCCTTCCCAGCCAGTGTCATTTGCACAGTTACTGTATATATTATTATCACTGATCACTGTATTAATGTCACTGAAGATCTCAGTGGCAGTTAGTCAGTTTCCCCCCAGCTTCAGTTAGTGTCAGATTTCAGCAGACCCACTATAAGTCACTGATCACCGACCTTACTAGTATTAAAAAAAAAATAAAAATAAAATTCCAGTATACCATCGTTTGTAGACACTATAACTTTCATGTAAACCAATTAATTTACATGTATTAGGATTTTTTTTTAGCAAACCAATCAATATACACTTCGGTTTATTTACCAAAGACATGTAGTAGAGTACATTCTGGCTGAAATGTATGAAATTTTTATCACGCTTGGACACAGTGGCGAGGAGTTGTTATTTAAGACAGGTTTTTATATTTGCCCGCATTAGAGAGATTCACTCTCCCTATTTGCCACAGTGACCATTGTCAACGGGACTGACAGTGGGGGAAAATCACAAATTGTGATTTATCACCAGAACAGGAATAGAAGGGAAAATATTCCAGTAGGGATACTTAATCCATAACAACTGACTAAAATGACATTTCACTCACTTTGGAAAGATTTTTTTCACACTTTCTGTTGTGTCCATAGAGCAAGAAGTGAAAGGAAATCTCGCCAATGGGACACAGATGGCAAAAAAAAACTACTAATCTATACAGTATAAAAAAAGGCTTCTAATATATTTCCAGGCAGATTCTTCTATAAAATGCTTTGAAGCTGAGCAGAAAAGGGATAGGGGTTGTATACAGACATAATGTATAGACATAGCAAAGAGAGTGACACCAGGATATTAAAGGCGGTAAAACTTTTTGGATACTCATCAGCATGTCTGCATTTTTTTGCAATCCCCCTCAGATTTCAAAACTGACCATTAATTAGCTGATTGGATCTCCAGTATTTTTTGTCTTTGATGGCCTGAATTGCAATTGCTTTGGTCACTACTTTAATGACCAAAACTTCACAAAAAGGACATTTGACAGCTGTACCAATTATCTGGATCAAGTGATGGACAGTTGATGTGTGCTAGAAGAAACATTGCAATAGTACATCCACATTTTCCTTCTTGGCAGTCTGATATGTGATAGGGTGTCATTCGATTATGAAAGCCTACAGCAGACCATACCTGTTCTTATTACCAGGAAAAGAAAGTCTACAACCATTTTTTTTGGCTGATAATCAGCTTATGTGTGAGAACTTTTAGTGTGTCTACTATTTAAAAGGGAGAACTAATCAACCACAATACAAGTAATTGATGACTAATGACATCTCTGTAACCAGAAGTATGATTCAGTTTATTATAAAAGACTTCAAAGCATGGCTTATGTAATGGTATAGATCAGGTGTAGCCTTGCTTGTACTGAATACATGAAATTGAAAACCATTTTATAGTTTGGAATTTGACAGATAGGAAAACCCTAAAATATTACTAATATTAGTTATGATGGGCTCCCAGCAGTTTCTTGGTAAAGGATATGCATTGAATGGACTAATGAAATGTGCACCTTAACATAAAGCAATTTCTTGGTATGAAATGAAATCATAAAAGATAATGAAAGGTAATAATTCTATATTTTAAGGATCTCCAGTTGTCATCCACTTCCTGATACAGATGTAAGGGTTGTCTTCCATTCTCCTTCCTGCTGCCAATCCTGGTATTGGGTTAGCCCAAGGAATTTTGACTGTCATCAATTTCCTCTTCTAAAATGCATCTGTGGGCTGTTATTGAAAATACAGTTTTAGATGTCCAGTAATTTCACAACATTACAATCGTTAAAAAAGTAGAACACATTGTACAACATGGACCTGTTGAAACAAAGAGACTAGTGTTTACCAAAGGATTAACCAGTTTTCCTCTCACCTCCACACATTTGTGAATAGGAAAACCCTTTTGTCACTCTATTATTGGATGTATACACCTTAGGTTATTGACTAGCACTTCCACATTGGATGAACTATTGCAGCTACAGCACCTCCCACACCATGGTAGATAAATGGGGGTCTCCATGTCCTTATTTCTCTTTGTACTAAGGCTGATGGTCCCTGGTATGAGCACAGGACTATAGCATGTGTGGGCCACTAATTCAGCTAAAGATTTAGAATGTCTTGGGGTGTAGAGTTATGACATCATGCTCTTGGGTCCCATCACCACATTTAAACTTTCCTAATGAAATGTGATAGATGGAGCCAGTGGCATCTCGATGCAGGTGCGGGGGGTGCGCGCCGCACTGGGTGACACCTACCGCACGGGGTGACACCGTAACCGCTCCACAAAAAGGTAAGTTGTAAAGCAAGTCGACGATCCCCGCAAGATGGATCCCCGCTTTCTTTACAACTTACCTTTTCGTGGAGCAGGTCACCCCATATAGGTTGCATGCCGGCAATCCCCACAGGATGGATCGGATCTACAGATTGGGGAACATAATGGATCGGACTCTGATCCATTATGCTCAATGCGCAGATCCGAACCATCCTGTGGGGATCGTCGCCATGCAACCTATAAGGGGTGACACCGGACCCACTCCACGGAAAGATAAGTTGTAAAGAAAGCTGATGATCCCCGCAGGATGGATTGGATCTGCGGATTGGGGAGCATAATGGATAGGAGTCCGATCCATTATGCTCAATCCGCAGATCCGATCCATTCTGCGGGGATCGTCGAAGGGGGGGTGTCACCAAGTGTTATTGCACCGGGTGACACCAACCCTAGGGACACCCTGGATAAAGCACACAGTAAAGTATTAAATCCCAACTTTACCCGCCTCTGCGGGGGTTATCTCCTCATTTTACGTCTAAGGGAGGATAAAAACCTTTTTTTAGTTACCTGTACTGGCCTTAATAACATAAGGACCTTAGACCACTGGAACATGGGGAAGAAATGTTATGGGGACTGGGATAGCAGTGCAAAGGAGCAGAGGATCTGGTGAGCAAATCTATTTTCCATGCCCCCTACACCTAAACAAGCAGTTAACCCATTGCACGCAGAAGCAGCCCCACCGCAAGGGAGAATTTTCAGATTACCAGGACTTGGGATTTAACCATGATCATGCTGGTTGTTTAGTATAGTAGTGAAGAAGAATTAGAAGCTCTTACAGTGTTTTTATTGCTTTTTGTGTCCACGATAGAGAAGGATTTCTTCATTTTCTGTTTTCGTTATAGTGGTCACTAAGACAAAAACATTCATTTAAATATGTTTTTCAATAGCTATAAAGGGTATAGGCCTGCTTTATGTGCACCAAATGTTTTTTCTATCCCAGATATTATTTGATAAATGTAGTGGTGGCATCTTCAATGGGCTGCATGTAGGGGGATGTATACAAGATCAATAACCCTGCACATGGAGAGAGATCACCAGTAACTGGTATTTAGCACAGGAACCTCCTGCACAGAAGCAAAGTACAGGGTATGTTTCATGCTGGATACTGCACAGATCTGAATGATATAAACAAAGCACAACAAGATTCAAGTACGAATATATATGACTTATCTATTAGACCTCATGCACATGAGAGCCTGGGGCATCAAAAAACATCAAATTTGAGTGATATTCCCAAAACTGGGAGCAACAGGTGCTGTATAAAGCCTCCCATTGAAATAAATGACTGTACATGACTGTATGTGGATCAGGGGCGGACTGACAACTCATGGGGCCCCCGGGCAATTGGGGATCATGGGGCCCCTGTGTCCTTGCCCACACTCAAAACACACCCAAAAAAGCATATAAAAAAGGTACCAGGGGCATTTTATGGAGCCCCCTACTGACTCCAGGCCCTTGGGCAGTGCCCGAGTGCTCGAATGGTCAGTCAGCCCCTGATGTGGATATACACTGGTACTTGCATAAAAAAATCGCATACATATGAATGTACACTCCTGGACCATCTGCTTCCAAGGTTGTACGTCTGTATACATGTGCATATTTATGCAAATACCGGTGTAGACCCAAGTACAGCCATGCAGGGGCGTATTTACCGCAAGGCAAACAAGGCATTTGCCTAGGGCAGCATTTTTCAGGGGGTAGCACTGCCCCCCTGGAAGAAGGGACGTAAGAAGGGACACATGCGGCTTGGGGACCATATGGGATCTGAGAGAGGCTGTGGGCTGCTTGACTCTCGTTGGTAGTGGAAGGTTCTCTCGGGTGGGGGGGCAGGGGTGTTGTTTGTCGATGTCAGGCTCTCTCCGGGGGGGGGGGGGGGACATTTTGTGTTGCCTAGGGCCGCACAAAACCTAAATACACTACTGCAGCCAAGTACAAGCATTGCTTGCTATGAGCGGCTGTATGCAGCCTCTGTGGTTCATGGGTAGGGAAATATGCCCCATTTACATTGCACAACCCCCAGGCACCTGTATGCATGAGGCCTATAACAATATTTGTTAAAGCGGAGTTCCAGCTGTAAAAAACTGTAGCTGCTGACTTTTAATATACAGTACACACACTTACCTGTCCCAGGGTCCAGCAATGTTCTCACCCGTGTTGTCCCTTCCCCCCTTCTCTCCTCCACAGCACCGGCATCTCAATTGTGGGCACCAGGCTGTGACAGCTTGTGGCTTCGCAGCCGGGTGCCCACTGCGCATGTGCGAGTCGCGCTGCACCTCCTAATTGATCCGGCAGTCTTCTGGGACCTGTGAAAGTTCCTAGGACACTGGAGGGGGCTGAACTTCTGTCTCACTTTGCCACAGTGAACTGAGCCGGAAGTGGGAGCGGGTACCTGTCAAAAACAGGAATCTGCTTCCCCCTCCCTCCCAAAAGGTGCCAAATATGGCAGTGGATGGGGGAGGAGGCAAATAAGTGGAGCTTCCGCTTTTGAGTGGAACTCCACTTTAAAGTGTTACTAAACCCCACAACAGTAAAATCAGTCTGCCTATGCAGTAAAGCATGCTTGTTATACTCACTGTGGAACCTAAGGGGTTAATCCTCTGCATTGTGTAAAAAGGCTGTTTGATCCCTTCTTCTCTGCCCCTCCTCTTGTTGAAATTACCACCTGATACAGACTGAACCCGTGGTCACATGCTCAGTTTGGTGTGTATTTCTAGAGAGGTTCTTTTTTTTTTCCTTGCGAGGGTGCATGTGATCAGAGCAGGGCCAATCAGCACTGTCCAGACAGAGGGTCAGAGGTTTCACATTCTCTTAGAGCAGAAAGAAAACTCCTACAAGCTTTAACCAATGCTCTACTGAAGTCACAAGTCTGCTGGAGTGGGGGTGGGGGGGGGGATGCAAGCCATGTTGTCTGTATATATGGTTACAGGCAGCGTGGCTCAAGATTTAGCCTGCACAAGTGCCCCCATAGCAAACAGCTTGCTGTGGGGGCACTCAAAGAAGAGGAAGAGCCAGGAGCATGAGGGGACCCAAGAAGAGGTTTGAAGGCGCTCTCCATTGCACAGAGCAGGTAAGTATAACATGTCTGTTATTTTAAAAAAATAAGCCTTTAAAATCACTTTTAAAAATCACTAGAGTGAGGAAAGGGAAGATTTCTCTCAATGAGACTGTTCAATAAGACAGGAAATGAGGAGAAATCTCTTCAAGATACACACAGTTAAATAAAATAAAACACTAGAGTGGGGAAGGACTAGAAGCTGTCTCAGATGTTTATTACTATCTGTGTCTTTTCTGGGAAGGTTTCTGTCCTGGATTATCCCAGTGAAAGTATTCACTTGGAAAGGAAACGAGGAGAAATCTCCTTGACGAGACACAAACAACAATAAAAATCTCAACAGAAGTCCTGACCCTTTCCCATATTAACTATGATTAGAACAAAAGATTTTTTTTTTAATCAGTTACACTTCACACCTGTCATACTGCAGTCCAATAAATGATACAATAATGAAAATGTACTCAGAACAAGTTAAATATATTATAAATTTTTTTTTTTTTTTATGTAAAGATTTTGTGCATTATAACAGCCTACACACTCTGGAAGCTACAATGCAGAATATGAGGTGGACGTATGTTGTTTTTTTTTTCCTCTTAATGACCACTTCTGTGGAAACACACTGTAGTAGTAATTTTTTGTTGTTTTTTTACAAAGTTTTCAATATAATTTAAGAGATTTTTTTTTTATGAAATTACAAATGGCAGCACTTTTATTAAATTGTCAGAGCCAAAATAAATAGTATTAGTCTATGTTCTTTAGGGGAGCATTCTTACTACCATGCTTCCTTTTCCATAACAAAATTATTTAGATACATTTTCTCACCACTTGGAGCTTTTATTGTTTGATGACATTAGCTGGCTGTCGACATGAGATGACATTCACAAAGTCCTGTAGTTTTTCTTTAAATTACGTGACTTGGTTACTATTGTCCCACTGACAAGCTGGAACTGACACCATCCTCCAGCACCTCCCCCTGCATGGAAATAAAACAATCCAAACTTAATGAGCTGAGGCAAGCTTGTGTTTAAGAACCCCATGGGAAATCCAGGTGCCAGAGTTGGTTATATAATCCATGTGCACCCAACCACACGTCCATGTCCATGGGCTCATATCAGATAATTACTTAATCTACCCAAATACCTGATAATGGTCAAATGTTAAGAAACCATACTACTGATTACAGCTCTCCTTTACACCATCAACCTCATTAGCATGCAAACTTGTCTCCTACAGGTGAGGATGTCTGTTTTTCATGGAGCACTTACAGTGTATTTGCTATCCACAAACCTGCAGATGTGCCAGGAACTCAGTAAAATTATGGATCATCTAATGTCCTTGGGCATTAAAATCCAGTCCACTCAAGGCTAATATTTTGATTTTGGGTGGGTTCCATTGGGTTGTATCACTCGATGTCTTAGAAGGACTCCAGTAGATAGATCTCCCTACCAAGGCATTTACCAAGGTATCACTTTCATGAAGTAATATTCCTAACTAATTCAGCAGCAAAATCCTGTCATGATTTATAATGGTTTATAATTGTCATGGCTAATAAACAACACTGGGATCTTCTGTAGAAGGATCTTGCTGCTGTAATCCTGTGAGTCATATTAGTAGGAATCTTCTTAACCCGAAATTGTGCTCACTAGATTTGGCCTTAAATATGACAGTTGATTTGACAGATCCTTAGATCTGGCCAATTATAAGACAATTTAAAGTGAACTTACCATCAGATATATTTTTTTCATGTTAAGAACATGTTAATCAATGTGTAATTAACTCTAACAGAAATCTCTGTATTTTTTCTGACAATAATTTTTCTGTTTTAATTTTTAAAGGAGCAAAGCCATCTTTGTCCAGGCACCATTCAGGGTTAATATATACAGTATTTCTGGTTTGAGATTCTGGCTGTAAGATGACATAGTCAAGTAAATCCTGGTACATGTACACTTGCTTGGTTGTGTTCACAAATTTCTGACACATATTAGCACCTACAGCAGTCTCTTATTTGTGTATTGCTATACAGTTACAGTGTTGCAAGCTGATCACTGGGGAAGATTAAGGAAATGCCCCTTCTGCTCACAGCAGATTGATTACATCATCACAGTTTAGGCAAAGTCACTTGCCTGCAACTCAAGAATACTTTGTAATCATAAAGGGTAAAGATTTATGAAAAAAATATAATATTGCTGTATAATGGGAAATGCCAAGAATTTAATAATTAAATTACAAACTTATTCCATCCTTAACACAGCTGTTCTCTTTAAACTTCAGTAGTTCCTATCATTTAGCCTTTTACTGAAATTCTGTTCATTAGGTGCTGTTTAATATTTGATTTAATAATTTAATAAGTATTTTAATAATCCTTTTGAAGAACTGTTAAAAATGATTAACCCCATTAGGAGCTTAATTAGAGGGTTAGTTTTCTAATATTTTCATTTTATTCTGTAAAACATTCTATGCCATAAATACATTTTTAAAAAAGACTGATTTTCAAAAGCTGAAAAATAATGTGAAAGTTTATCTACATTTCTTCTTTTCTCTCTGTCCCGTCAAACTCCAGAAATAGCATAACAACCACGAAAGCCATAACAATATCTAAAGAGCTGGTATTTCTGTTAAAGACGCACTTGAAACCTGAAGAGCATTTGCGGAATGGAAGAGTCAATTAACACCATTTGGGGAATTTTTAATTGCTCTATAAAGTATAGAGTAAATAATTAGCCCCAGCTCATCTGATCCCTTGAATTTCACTTGACAGCTGTAATTTATGACTGGCAAAGTGTTTCCTATACCTCTTTATTCAGCATCTCAACTTATTGCAGTAATTGCTTAACAATAATCTTATCTTCTAATGAGTTTAGGAGTGAATGACTCATTATGTCATTTAACTGTTAATTACTAATAATTGTATTTTAAACAGCTTTAATGGTAACCAAAAGTCTGCTCTCCAAAGTACAGAAACAATGCAAAAACAAGAACATTAACATAAAAGTGTGGTAATATTTCTGAAATGAAATGTTTTCCTTTTTTAAAAGAGAAGACTGAAATAATTACAAATTGCAAACTGGAAAATAGTTAATGGAAGCAGCTTAAAGGGAATCTATAAGGTTTAATAAATTGTATAAGTCTACAAGGCTTTAAACTGATGTTTTATTTGATTTTTATATATATAGAGTATATACCATATTATTATATATATTATTTTATTAAATAAAAAATACAGCATGATGCAGGTTATACAGACTTAAATCAAGAGCACAGCAGAAGCTCTTTCTCCATCATACTGTCTCTCCCTAATAGCCTGTACAGAATAAAATAGCTGCATAAACTTTAATCTTTAGCTATCTAGCTTGGTAAACAGACTTTATTTTCTAGAAAAGCAGTTAAAGTGTATGTACCACCAAAAATGAAAAACTGTAAAATAAAATGCTCTAAAACCATAAAAAGTACAGTACCTGCAC